CCCTCCCCCCAGGGTCGCAGTCAAAGGAAGCACGTCCGATCCAAGTGCTGGAGGCCTGAGAATGGGCACCAACACCAACACAGGGGGGTGCCTTCACCGGGGGGAGAGATGACCCTTGATGTTGGTGTTGGTGGTCGTATTCCGACCACCTAGGAAGCCCGAGTATTACAACCATCACCGAGATCGGGATCATCTTCCCTCGGTGCAGGCACACAGCTGCTATTGGTGTTGGTGTCAACCTCTAGACCTCCGAAAGATCGGGGGTTGCCCAGAGGTGCCCCTGGCACAAGGTGCCCCCAGCTTTTCGTTCAATGCTTGAGCCCCTGGGGCACCTTGGGCCTCGTCAGGGGTGTTCTGGGGGCCGTGGGGGCCTCCTTGGAAATCCTGGGGGCACCTTGGGCCAGTGGCACTTCTAGCGACACCCGACAAGAACCTCGAACGCCTGACCCTGCTGATGTTTGTCCGGGTCTGCGCGCGGCCGCCGGGCCCCCACCCCACTATACCGCGGCCTTGCGCGACAGGCTGACCTCGGGCCGGCAACGGGAGTGTCGAGGTACAGACATCGACAGCAAGCGGAGATCGGCATGCCTTGGACGTCGCCGTCCTCCTCATCCTCCCTCCTCCGTGTGATCCTCCACCTCCCCACCCTCCTGTCATCCTGCGCCTCCTCTTACCGATCCAACTACTCGTTATCTTTCCTCCTCCTCAAAATCTTCCCCATCCTCATCCTCGTCCTCCACTTCCTCATCATCAGAGCTCAGAGCTGAAGGCGGTCCTGTCCGGCCCGTAGACTGCAGCCGTACCAACTTGCCCATCCTCCTCCGCGCAGGCATCGCATAGTCTACTCATGGGCGAGCCCAGCTTCGGTGCCATAGTACTTGAGGGATGGAGAATGGCAGAACTCCATGCTCGCCACGATGCCTTCAACATGTAGCGAGGAGCCCCAAGGTCCATACAGTGGGAGTGTTCGTTTCGCAAGGTTTCCACGGGGGAGTCGCAAGTAACACATACACAAAATACATGGCGCGCTTTAGCGCTGCACCCGGCCGATCCTCTTGCCAGCCGCTGTACTGGCTGAGCCGGAGGCCAGGATGTGGGAGTGTAGAGGGAATCCGCCGATCCAGCGTGTGAGTTTCTGAGAGCGTGGACTTGAGCTCGCTCAAGCTTCGCTCTGCAGGGAAGGGGGGGGGCGGCGTACGTTCTTTCCGACGTTTTTTTCGGTACACGGGGATATCTCCGACGTCATTTCCGACGTTTTTCGGTGCCCGGGGACAGGGGGGTATAGAAAACTCCACTTCCGGAGTCCCCCCGGATCGGCGGCACTGGCCGGAGGCCAGCCCAATATCGAGCTCTTCAGGGATCGCACAGCCATTGGGTGTCCCAAAACCGTGTGGTGACAGACCCGGCGGTGACCTCGAAATCCGCAAAGACCTCACCGCACGGTCCGTCACAACACGGTTTTGGGACCCTGGAGGCTCCAGTCGCCCGAGACATCCTCGGAGAACGACCCAAGTCCCAAAACCGTGTGGTGACCCCGAATCCCCACCGACTCATCACACGGTGTGGTCACCGCGCCGTCTTGGGAGTCCCCGAAGCCAACTTTCCACAATAAGCTGGCGCTCTTGGCCGCGTCTTGCTTCTGCCGCGCGGGCCTCCGGAAGGCCAGGGCCACGCAGACCGACTCCAGCATCACAACGCGCCGTGCAGGACGCTCAAACAGGCGCGGAGAACCTAGCGAGGTTCCAAGAGGCCCAAATACAGTCGGGACGTTGACCTAAGGAACCCTAAATAGGGAACGAGGCCCCTTTTTCCCATCAGTGAAGGTTTGATTTCCCATCGAAAACCTGAGGAAAACCTAGGGCAAACTGTGAAACAATCAGGGAACACGGAGCCCCTCCCCAACGAAAAGGGTTCCTTCTTCAGCGCCCCGACTGTACAGCCCAAGAAGCCCACAAGAAACCCCAATGAGGCTCGAGTGCGCTCCAAGAGAGGCCTCGGAGAACCAGCACATGTCACATGTCTAAATCCCATTGGGTGTGTAGCAGTGGTCGGCTTCTCGACCCAACACTGCCTCAAGATGGCTGCAGCGAGCCCCATGACCGATCAAGAGAGCCCCACGAGCCACCCAAAACGGTCCAACAGGATTCCAAGAGCCTCCCAAGATCGCTACCGAGCTGACCCCAAAGCTCCCAAGAGAGGACCAAGAGGCCTCCAAGACGGCTTCAAGAGAAGCGTAAGCAGGTGAACTCGATTGGGCCCCCGAGTCCCTCACCACCAAGATGGATCCCACGAGGCCCCCGGAAGTCCCCAAGAGGCCGTCGAGAGTGCCCCGGAGGCCCCCCCGAGGCCCCCCAGAGGCCCCCGGGAGGCCTTCCGAGAGCCCCCAAGAGAGCCCCCGAGAGACCACAAGAGTCGCGCAAGAGGCCTCTTTTCCACAGCCCAGGCACTGTAGCGGGTTGAGCCGAAGGCCACTGGATACGAATTTCTCCAACACCATAAGCGCCGAGTTTCAGCCTGTCGGCACGCGACCCCTGAGCACGACCCTGGAACGGACGCAAAGGAGCCCAGGCTGCAGCGGGAGCGGCGGTGGCGCCATCAGCAGCAGCAGCAGCAGCAGCAGCAGCAGCATCAGCAGCAGCAGCACGGGTGCAACATCAGGACATCATCTGGAACTAGTCTGGAGATCGCACGTGGTGGATATACTGAAGGCGGGAAGCGGGAACCCGAAGGGGCCTTAGGAGCCCCTTTGTGCCAAAGACGCCCCCGTCAGAGGACTTCCAGAAGACCTCGCGGTCTCTGGAGAAGGCCCCCGAGGGGCCCCCAAGAGACCCCGAAAGGGCCAGCCTCGGACCAGAGGCCTCCACAGGACACCCCGTCCACGACCCAAGCACTGTGGCAGGACTGGTGGGCTGAGAAGGACTCGAACACGGGGCGGGCAGGTTCTTGCAAAGCAGCGATGGTATTCCAGATTTCGTAATAAAGGGAGGGGGGTCTCATTTCGGGGGGGGTCTCTTCCAGGCTATCTTGGAGGGCCTGGGGGGGTCTGGGGACGATGTTTTGGAGGGATCTCCCACGAGGGGGAGTATGAAATGGCTTGTCTTGGAGGGTCCAGACCCCCTCCCTTTTATTACGAAGATCAGGGTACTTGTTTCAACTTCGAGGATGAAGCAGTAGCAGTAAGATAAAGAGGAGGTGGCGCTGGGAGGCAAAAGAGCTGGCGAAAGCGAGGCCGACGAAAACGCGGGGAGGAGACAAGGAAAGCGTAAGGGAACGAATGCCGAGGAAGAACAGGAAGATGAAGCCGACGACGAGGATGGACGACGAGGATGGTGACGCTGATGGGAACCATAAGGAGAAGGATTGAGGGAGGAGGGAGGAGAGGGCGAGGGGAAGGCGGACTGAGGGGTGAAATGAGAATCGTGAACATGAGTATAATGGGTCGTATGGAGAGGCGGATAGGGGGAGGGGAATACGAGAAAACGTGGACACTGGGAGATGCAGCACTGATCAGGGAGTAGGGTCGAACAGCATGTGGCGAGAGGATGGCGAGCAAGAGGATGTGAAGGAGGGAAAGCACATAATCCGAAAAAAGAGGGGTGATGAAACGAATGATGAAGTGAGGAACTATCCAAAGTACCGCAGCGGGGGTTGATTCATCCTTGGAGGAGGCCCTCCCGAAATGCCGAAGCATGGCGACTACGACGACGATGATGACGATGGTGAAGACGTTGGGTATGATGACGGTAGCGACGATACTGATTGTGATGAGGGTGATGGCGATGACGGCGAAAGTGATGACACTGGCGATGATGATAAAACTAATGTTGATCAGGATGTGAAGGACGAGTGCGTGCGGATATACATATATATACACATACACATACATACATACATACATACATACATATTTGTACCTCATTAGTGTGCTCCACCCAGAACTGGCTGCAGTCACTCATCCCTCCTCCGAGGGCCTCAGATCTTCGAGAGAAACAAGAAACCCGCGACACACCCCTCGACTGAAATGATCTGCCAGCGAAGCCCCAGACGCCGTCGGTGGATAAGGCGCAAGCCTTCAAAATCACATTTCTCACGAAGACAGGCCACCGTGCAGCCTGAAGTTCAGCAATCCAGCAAGCTTTTTCGAACTGTGCCGGCAAGAGACGTGGACCTCTCACACCAAGTGAGAATGACAAGACAAACGCTGTGGTGATCTAGGTCCTCGAACTGCCGGCCACTACCAAAAACAAAAACACTGACAAACTACTCGTTGGCAGTGAGGGTGGTGGTGGGGCTGTAGGTTGCCGCACTCTGAGCGCGCAGCGGTTGCGGGGCGGCGGAGCAGGACGATCTGACAAAGATAAGTAGAACAGAAACTTGTACCTCACCAGTGTGCTCCACCCAGAACTGGCTGCAGTCACTCATCCCTTCTCCAAGGGCCTCAGATCTTCGAGAGAAACGAGAAATCCACGACGCACCCCTCGACGAACATGATCTGCCAGCGATGCCCCAGACGCCGTCGGTGGATAAGGCGCAAGCCTTCAAAATCACATTTCTCACGAAGACAGGCCACCGTGCAGCCTGAAGTTCAGCAGTCCAGCAATCTTTACCGAACTGTGCCGGCAAGAGACGTGGACCTCTCACACCAAGCGAGAATGACAAGACAGACGCTGTGGTGATCGAGGTCCTCGAGCTGCTGGCCACGACCAACATCTCACCAGAATCGTGAATAAAGGACGGTACGTGGGGATGGACGGCGGGAACCAGAAAATCCAACCTTTCTCAAGCCTGAAGTCCATGCGGCAACCTGCTGTGCAGTGCAGCACGAGAAAAACCCTTGACCGTGCGCCAGCTTGCTTATCAAGTTTGCAGGCGCCTTCTTTGACTGGGACAACAATCGTGCGTGTTTTTCGTACCCCTGAAAACTTCTCATGGCCCCCCAGCGCCCTCGCCAGCGGATAAGCTCCAACGCTCTACGCTTCTGAAGGGGGTCACTGCTGGGCCCCGAATGTCTCAGCACGTGCGGGGTCAGACTCAGTGCCGTCAATGTCAAACCCAAAAATTTGACTTACCGCTGGAACCCTTTCCCGTTGTCGGCCAGCGTCAACTTGGGAAAACGTGGGGCCCCCTGGGCAGTGGCGCGATACAGCATGGACAAGACCTCCACCAACCATTCTCTCGATCGAGTGCCACAGACCACGCGCTCATCGACATTGCCAGTCTTGGTGCGCTTGCCCTGGCCCGAAGAGCCAGAAGCGATGGCCCACTTTCGGTGGGCGGCCCCCGCTCTCGCTGATGGAGCGACGGCGCCTTCTCGGCGCAAGTCAAAGATCCCCGAAGGCCTCGCGTAGAGGTCGGACTGCAGTGTACCTGCAGCGGCCGCCTCCAGCCCGTCGTTCTCAGCTAGCCAGTGGAGGGCTATAAAGATAACTTCCTCAGGGCATGGCTTGACAGCGAACTTGCGCATCAGCTTGGACCAGCCCTTCAAAGCCTCAGCCACGGGGTCGAGATCCACGAGCGCTTGTCTGCGGTTGTCGGCGTAGACCACAGACCGCCCCGCAGCAGGACTGCAACCAGCAAGCGCGAGGGACTCACAGAATCTTTCCATTGTGCGTGCAAAGGCCCTCGGTGGTGACAAAGGAAAGTTGCGCCGCCTAGCCCATGCAGTGAAACCGCCCGCGGCCTTGCGATAGCGCCCCAGCGTCTTGGGGCCGGCCGCCCCACGCCGAAGGAAGCCAGGGCTCGCGTCACCTCAAGTGCGGTGTTTCAGCTCTCCCACCGCGCCGCTGCGATCGCGCCGAGCGCGCTTGCATTTCGGTGCCGTGCCCAGCTCTGGCAAAGCGGATATCTTGCCTCCCGATCGCCCTGGCCGCCCTCGTCGCGAAGTGGATCTCCCCGCTGTCCTCGTCACCTGTGCGGGCGCGCCGCGAAGCTGAGGCCGCGCGACGCCGTCGTCGGCGCTGGCTGGTAGCGACGGCCCCAGCCCCGGAGATCAGCCCCAGCCCGCGATCTAGCTCGCCGAGGCTCTGCGGGCGGCAGCCGGCGCGGCCCGCCAGATGGCGCGGGCCCAGGCGCGACAGAGGGCGGGCGGATAAGCTCCTGCTGCAGCCGTGCGCCGAACCCACTTGGCTCGCCCATCTGAGCCTATAAAGCGACACGCCCCTGTAAGATGATGATGCTGATGGGTAGCAGTAACTCCTGGACAGCGGGCCCCCGAAGTTCTGAAAGGAAGCGCAGTTGGGTAACAGCGTGGTGGGCTTCTTATGGGGCGCTGAGTGCTGGCACTGGGCATTGATCGATGATGACTTTCTCGACCCCAGGAAGCCCGGAGAGCTCGCAAATAGGATGGAAGCCCCATAGCTTCGATGACGTGGGATTCTCCATGGACCAGAACACACTGCAACACTGGCACTCCCTCGCGACCTCCGACGAGAAGATGGCCAGCTCGACCCCCACCAACTCCTGTTGCCTAGCCCTCTCCGTCTTCGCGATGCCCCTGCGCGCGATAAATCATATAGAACACGGAGTCCCAAGATGCACCCAGAAGACTCTTCCCGTGCGAATGAGGTTCAGAACGAGTCTCTGTGTACTTCTCCGCGTAAGATCATATTCGCCACCCCAAGCAGCATCAAAACCTGGGCCCAAGCGTAGGCCTCGTCGATGTACCGCCCTAGACAGACCAGCAGAACCCGCGAAGAGCTCCAGGAATACCCTGTCGTCACCACTGGGAGGCTGCCGAGGTCGACTCAAGGGGCCCGAAGGGATTCTTCTTCTCCGAGGCACCAGGGGCGCTGTTGCTGGGCGGTGTCGGAGGAGCCGAAGGCATGGGTATATTGTCAGGCGGAAGGAACCTAGCATTGGAATGAAAGACGGTGGTTTCTAGCGCTGTCGTAAGATCAGCCTGCGTTCGACCACTCTTCTGAATATTGCCAAAACGATCAAGCTTGCACGCCTTGGACCTGTCCAAATCGAATATACGAGAACCCTCGCCAGCAATATTTCGCTCAGTTCGGATGTGCCGAAATCTCAAATCAATACCAAATTCAACGCGATAAGGGGTAGAACGACGAGCGAGCGCGTTCAAGGCATGGCTTTTGAATCTTCCTCTCTCGAAGCCGCTCAGAGTCACTGGGTTATCACCGATGCGCAAGCAGCAGTGGCCATGAACACGACAGTCCCGTCCAAAATGGCGCAGGGACTGGAGCGTCACTCGCCCCTCTTTGGCATTGATGTGGTCCTCAGGCCACTGCCACTTCCTCTCGTGCATGGTGGCCCACATCTCTGGATTGGACCAGCTGTCCGCAAGAGGAGGGGTCGCCTCGCGCAGGCAGATCTCCCGCTCGGGAGGGGCCTGGGCCTCCACCGTGCAGCGAGGTGGTCGGGCCGCCTGCCGAGCTTCTCCGGCCTGGCCATCCAGCCAAATGCCGCGCGCGGTCTGGGCACCCGACGCCGGCGCAGCCGAGCGCCCTCGGACCTTCGAGCCACAGCAGACCTCGTCGTCAAGCTCACCCTGAGAGGACAGGCCCCCCAGCTGGTTCACCGCCCCCGGAGCGTCAAGCCTGACGGGCTCGACGCGCTGGACCTTGCGATGCGCCAGCGCTCCCGGTGCGAGGCAGCGTCGTGGAACTCTCGGACCGTGCGCTCGGTGGACAGCAAGGCGCACCCAAACGTGCTGGAGTCGCCCACGTGCACTTCCCGCCAGATAGGGGCGCCAACCCCCGCCTCTATCACGAATACTAGCCGTCGAGTCAACTCCATCTCCAGCTTCGCAGTGGAGGGGGCCCGCGGCCGACGGCCGCGCGCTTCAGCGACGAAGGCGCAGGCGTCCTGAAGGATGGCGAGGAGCTCGGGGGCAAAAGAGAACATGCAGACCGCGTTTCCAAGCCAGACCTCCATCTCCTCACCTCGAAGTTGCGATCGACGGAGTAGGGCTCGAGTGGCCAAGGCGAGCCTCCAGATGCGCCTCTGAGTGTGCCGAAGTACCTTCTGGCCAGCATGAAACTCGAGACCCAGCGCCTCCAGATAGGTAACACCACTGTGCCGCCCATGAGTGCCAGTATGCTGTCCGCTCAACGCGCTGCAGAAACGCTCGACGCTCTCATGGGAGTCAGCCTCGCAGATCGCGAAATACTTCTTGCGCAAGTAGAGTGGCCACGACCATCCCGCGCACAGCTCTTCAAAGCAAACAAACAGCCGCCCTCCAGGCCGAAGATGGTCGTAGCGTTGCAGATCGTCGTCCCAGATGCGATGGACGCCGAAACCGGCCGCATCCTCTGCGGCGCAGCCAGCTTCCATGCAAAACCAGGGCGCTGGCTGCACATCTGAAAAGTTGTAGAAGCAGTCGTCAGCGTCAGCGTCGCCAGCGAAGGCGGGAACCGACGCAGCGCCACCAAAACCACCGCAGTGGCTGAGGAAGTCATCAGAGCAGTCCGGGTTGATCATGGCCCATGCTGAGCCCAACTGCACTGCGGGTGGCCGCCGATGACTGAGGCAGGGCTGTCGGGAGTCAAGACCCAGGCGGATCTCGCCCCCCTCCTTCTTCGCAGTAAAAATGCGCAGAAGGCCTTCGCGCGCCGGCGAAGCGGCGCGAGTCCAATGCCAGCCAGGCGCTTGAACAGATGTCGTCGTGGGGCCACAGACCGCCGAAGAGCGGGGTCCCAGTGGGGCTCCGGGAGCTCTGGCGCTAAGCTGATCTGCTCGTCCGTACTCCACTCGACCTGCGCATCGTAGTGGCGAAGCAACTGCGCGGCCTCCGCTGGGGGGCCGTCGATCGGGGAGCGTGGTGTCAGAGCGCCGCGACAGATCTTCAACTTTGAGAAGTCGTGCGGCGCCATGTTGGCCGGCCCCAGACCGCGCTGGGATCGAGACGCCAGGAGCTCCCCGAGGGCTCGCCGCCCGTTTAGATCAGGATGGGGGCCGTCCGCAAGCGCCGACCCGCTGGCGCAGACGATGCAGGGCGGCGCCCTGTGCTGCAGCGGGCGCCCTCCGACCAAAATTGTCGTAGATGGGCCATGTGGGCCGCGTGGCAGAGGTAGCAAGGTGATTCAGCGCCTCCGCCGCCTCATTCACTTGCTCATGCCGAAAAAACTGCCTAGCTCGACGCTGTCGGATGCAGCGAGGGCCATTCACGAGACCGCTCGCTGGCGGCGGAGACGCTCGAGGCAGCGGGAAAGATTCGCCGCGTCGACGGTCGCCCACAAGACGTCTCTGGACCCCCCGCCTTGCGGGCCCAGGCGGGGGGGCGCGGCCCCCTTCGCCAGCGACGTGGGCAGCGCCGCGGAGACCGCGCCCCCGACAAGTGGGTCGTGCCTCCTGGGGGGCGGCGCCACCCTTGTCGCCCCTGCCGCCTCCTTTCTTCTTCTTGGGGCCCGCCTTGGCCTTCGCGAGTCGCTCCACCGATGGGTCGACCAGCGCGCGCTCCTCCATCGCGAAGCGGGCCTGCTTGAGCACCTGAACCCTGTCCTTCTGCCAGCCAGCGACCCACTCGCGAAAGGCCACCGCGCTGGCGGCCCCCGGTGCCGCGACCGCTCCGCCCATGATCTCCTCGAGCCCCGTGAAGTCGGGGTGAGCGGGTTTGCGGTCGACCGCCATCTCCAACTGGACCTGCCGTCGGCGCAGGTTCTCGACCCCCCTGAAGGTTGGTCGCGTCCATCTGGTCAACCTCGGTCAGCAGCCTCAGAGTCTCTGTCCCTGAGCGATGCTGGTGGAAGGCGGCCGTTCCCGCATGCACCCCAGAGTCGTTCTGCCAGTTCCGCTCGTGCACCTCGAAACCTCCAGCTTGGTCGATCAGCGCGAGGTGCTCCACCGCAAACCTCGGGCCAGGGAAACCCCAGTCGTCGTACTGCACCTGGCTCCTTCAGCATGATACACCTCTTGCCGTTCCGAAGATGCACTCCGATGATGCGATCATCCCGATCAGCAGCCCGTCGCTCTCTCAGCCAGGTCTCGCGATAATTCGCGCTGACTCGAGCGGCCCACGCGACCACGCCGTGGACCTCTGCGACCGATGCGTCCCCTATCTCCGTGAAGCGCCCCTGATCATCAATCACCTCCTGCGGGATGACCTCGTCGATCCTGTCGAGCCCTGGACCTGCGCACAGCCAGACCATCTCTGGAGCCTCCGGGTCGCCGTCGACGTCGGCCAGCACCCGCGCCTGGACTTTGGCCAGCTGCACATACTGGTTCAGCTCCACCCTCGAGATCGGATCGAACCCGAAGATCTCATTCCTGTTCACCCTGTCGGGCCAAGGAGCATTCCGCGCCAATGCGATGTGCTTGCTTGTGTTCAGGTCGTGGGTGCATAGCTCCAGTGTCGGTGCCAACGTGACCCACACCCCTGCACGGACCGCGCGGGCCATCAACACTCTCACGTGCCAGTAGAAGCCGTCTGCTTCGTCTGGGAAGTTCACCAGGACTTGAAACTCTTTGGTATCCAGGGAACGCTCCACTATCGCGATCGCAGGCTAGACGGGGTTGCAACGCTCCCAGGCGGTGGCTCCAGCACAGACTGCCTCTCCACGTAGTCGATGGTGGTGCCGTGGTCTCCCCCACGCGTGCCACCCTGATGCCGCGCCCTCGCGGCCTTCGTGCAATCCCAGACTCGCAGGACCACGACGCCACTCACGAACGCGGTTGCAAACCCGATCCAGTCGCGCTCCCGCAGGGTGATCTGGCTGGTGCTCGCGGGCCCCGCACAAGTCAACGAGCAGCTGACCGCTGGGCAGCTGCAGTCGGGACAGCTTGGGCAGGCGGGGCAGCGCAGCACGGCGGCTCCCGGTAGCCGCAGCGCTGATGGCGCCACGGCCCACAGGGCCTCCGTGCACGCCGGAGGCGTGCCTTCGCACTTTGAGCACACAACTGTTGCGGGCGGGCGGAACAGGACGATCTGGCAAATATAAGTAGAACGTCTATTTGTATACATATATATATATAATATCAGCGACTGCGCTTGCGCAGCTTTCTGTTGGAACAACAAAAAAGAGTCGAATCTACCCAAACATATCCAATCTGAAAGCGTTGAAGAAACACACGGTCAACGACAGCGGCATTGACATGCGCGTAGGGACCGCGCGCATGTGGCGCACTTGGTATGTGCTGATTGGGATGGCTACAATGCGCATCTGTTAGACCAAGGTGTGCGCACCAC